CTCATACATACATACATACATACATACATACATACATACATACATACATACATACATACATACATACATACATACATACATACATACATACATACATATACATTGTGATAATGTGTATGCGTGTGTATGTGTGACTGTGTGTGTGTATGTGTGTGTGAGTGTGTGGGTTTGTGGGTGTGTATGTGTGTGTATACGTTTACATAATATATTTATATTCCACAGTGTGTTTTTATAGCAAATAAACCCATTGCAGAAAAGAAGGAAGTGCTTTACAAACAGATGTGGTAAAACATGTCTTCGTGATAATTTTTTTGAGGAGTGAATTCTGATCGTGATTTATTTTCACACTCTTCTTCTTTTTTCTTTTCCGGGGGGAGGGAGGGGGGAGGGGCACTGGGGGATCTCATGGTCTAGAGCTTAAGGTGTGCACCTCTCATTCAACAGGTCCCGGATACGAATCCAGATAGGGACGGAAACATTTATTCTCCATATTTTTCTCCTTTCATATTCTACCCTGCTGTCAAGCAATGTTCTCTCGTCTGCTTTCGTCTCCACTTTCTACTCCCACCCCACCTCATTTGCCCCCTCCTCTTGGCTCCTGACTCTTTCTGTAGACTTTCCACGGCTACTCCTAGGTTCCTTCTTATTGTTGTCTTTCTTCACACCCCTGATCAAATGATGGGTAAGATCTAACGCCTAGCCTTCTCAGATAACGGCGAAACATCTCGGAGTTCCCGTGTGAAAGTTTCCTTGGCGGTTCAAAATCAATAAGAGTACGCTTCGGCCGCCACCCGAAAACAAAGTTCAAAATTTCCTATCAACTAAAAATGTTTTAATGTGTCTCGCGGGCTCATAATATGACCGTATAATTGACCGTATGCCTTATGCAGTTGCGAGAGCGGCAAAACACGTAACCAAAAAAAAAATATATATAAAAAAGGACGTCACTTCTAGGTATTAATCTACAGAAAAATACCAGTATTTCTATAATCCCACAACGTACCCGGCTCCAATGGGCGAGCCACATGCGTCGCATGGACGGCTTTTTCGCATCTTAAAGAAATTATTCTATGGTAAGCTGGTCATGCGTCTCGATAATTCGCCGCCCAGTGTTATGTAAACGGATCTCGTACAACGGCTACAACCCGTTTCTTGTTTCGTTGATACTTCAGCTTCAACCAAGTTTTGAAAAAAGAGACTGACATGACTGACATCCCTCAAAAGCTTATTGTTTTAGCTATGATGTCATATTTATAATATAAAGACTATTGGACGAAACTCACTGGTTCTACACGAATAAGAAACAAAGAACACTAACGTCAGCGAAGAAAACACACACACACACATACATACACACACACACATACACACACACAGAGAGAGAGAGAGAGAGAGAGAGAGAGAGAGAGAGAGAGAGAGAGAAAGAGAGAGAGAGAGTCTCATCTTCCAGAATAGTTCAGCCTCACACCTCCCTGCCCCGTCATCGAAACACACGTTTTGGGGGCGGAGAAAAGTTTGATCAGCCATCTCTGCACACACATGTTCCGTACTCCAACAGCATTCTACAGCATTTTTGCAAACCAGTGCACTGTACAAGGAATTCAGGATGCAAGACTGTTCTCTCTCACGTTGGCTTGTAGACCATTGTACTTACCACTCATTGCAGATACATTGTCGCAGCATTGTCCGCGACAGTTTTACAAGTCTAGATCAGGTATTTTCCAAAATCCCATCAAGGTATTGAACAGTTCTTTGAGCGCCATGGCTTTTGTTTGCCACGGATATTACAAAGCGTTCCACGTGGCCATCTTTCTCCCAGTGGCGGTGGGTAGTGAAGGACTTACGGGCTTGAGCCCCTCACCCCCACCCCCTTCCCACCCCAACTCTATCCCTTAGTTAATGAAAGTTTCTTAAATAACGAAATAAGCAGTTGAAACCGTTATGACCGCGCGCAATGAATTCACAGTGATCAACTTGGCAGCTAGCCCGTTTATCCAATCATTGTTGTCACCGCTTACAATTATAGTAACCTAACAGCCAATCAAATGTCGTTAGGGCTCAGAAAGAATAAGCCGGTTCCCACGCCCGTCTTTAATGAAACTCTTCTTGTAAAAAGGTAGAAGGTAGCTCTCCCAGTCCTGACAATGGGGTGAAAGTTTACGACACACTTTCCCCCAGTGACACAGATACCTGTGCGCCCATTGGGCCTTTGTTAGGCGCGTTCTATTTTCCGCAACAACGCGACCCAATCCGCCTCATAGACGGTATGTGTTTGGAGTGCTATGTGTTTGTGCCGCTGAGATTTAACAGTTGTTAATTACGTCAAACCACTTTTGAGGCATCTTTTTCTTCAGATAAAAACTGATTAGAGAAATTTGGAGGTGAAACGGCTTCGTCCCCACCACCCAGAAGAGCTTAAATATAACTAAGAACTAAGAGACGGAAAACAAAGGTGACTCTTCTCGTTTGAATGCCGTGAGTATAGAAGAAACATCACTGTTTTGTTCTTATTGCTTGCTTTTTGGTGGTAAAGAAGTGGAAGAAGCCTAAGGCCCACCCAAATCTTGGTCCACCCACCGCCACTGCTTTCTCCATGTACGAGCATGCTCAATACAAGGGTCACTTGGTCAATGTGGGTTCTATCGGGTGTGTGTTCCAAAGAGATGAGAAGTACTTTGATTTCTTAACTCGAGATTTCATTTCTCCGAGGTCTTGCTCACACGTTACACAGATAAGTTCTTCCATGATTGTAGATGGCAGCACGTGTGTCCTTTGCGCGATTGGCTTGAGTTTGAGATTATGTTGTGCAAGAACAATATCGTACTGGGCGATGAGTTCAAGAATACCCAGAACATTTCCATTTCTAGGTTATCCAACCAATTCGTTGTCTCTTCTAAAATGATGAGCCACGCTCGACAAAAACTGAATAACACTAACTACTCGTTTCGACACAGATTTCCAATAATGCTCTTGGCACTTGACAGTTGTGTCAGTGTCAGCTCTGTATCAATTCGCGCAATTGATTTTAACCTTCTTTTGAAAGCAATCGTAGCCTTCAGATGTTTCTTTGACTGCTCATGACAATGTAGACCTTTTTGTGAATCACAGATTGGACGAAACCTGAGAAGACTCAGATTTTGTTGTATTTAAGCTCATCACGTGAAGCAGTAAACACATCCAATTAGAGAAAAGCATTTAACCAGTTCCTTGTTTTGATTTCCCCTTTACGATTTTGACGACGAAAGAGCCCAAGCGTGCACATTCTTGGAATATTACGGTTTCTAGGTTGCTGCATCAAGTGTGTAGAGAACAAATTTTTACCACAGTGCTGAACTCTTGATACACTCCTTTTAAAGCCAGTATTCCTGCAATGTGCTCCGAAATAATGGATGGCCAAAGTCCAAAGTCATTGCCCCCTTCAGGTCACTCATTTTCAGTTTCTACATAAGATGTGTCACTATCAGCATCCATTTCTATGTTTTATTCATGGGGCCCGTTACTTCTTAAGAATTTTCTTTGTCAAGATCATGCAACCATTTCCGCTAACGCATTTTCAAGTTGATCAGCTTCTGCCAAGTCATCAGTCCAGCGCAAGAGAGAGAGATAGAGAGAGGCATAGAGACAGACAGAGAGTCAGAGAGACAAAGAGAGAGAGAGCGAGAGAGAGAGAGAGAGA